AGGAAGAAGATGAAGGGATGTACCCTCACCTTGAATGTCAGCTTGTTATAGTTCTGCACTCTCAACTTGAAGCTGCCTTTATTAGCTTACATCCATGCCAGTCTTCTCTGCAAATATTTGGACCCATGGTTTCCTGTGGTTTAATTTCCCCAGTGATCAAATCTTACTTATGTCTGTCTTTGTGATTCTTCTGCATTTCTGATGCATTGATGACACTCTTGATGCTCTTTCTAGGCATTTATAACTTTATTTTGTTTCTTAAGTATCTATTTTTTATTGTTATTTACATGGAACTTTTAGAAGAGTGGTAGGATTCATACAAGTACTGAGTCTGCCATCTTTAGTCAATATCTCTAATTCTTTAAGAATAAAAATTAAATTTAGCCATCTTTATGTTAGGTTCTTATACTTCGAAGAACTACTGTAAATACAGTTACCTTTACCAATAAAAAGGAAAATATAAGCGTATTTTGTTATTATCCCAAGTTCTGCCTTAGAAACAGCTGGCTCTCAAAAGGACAATTATATAAAATACAGTGTTCAGTGAGAACTGAAGTGTCAATATAGATACAAATGAATAACTTTGTGTTTGATAAAGATTCTTTCTCACCCTACAAGAGATATGCTTCCAAATTTGATAATAGTTTTAACAATGAGCTATGGATATACTCTTTTCACTTTTGTACAAGCATAAAGCCTTGTAGCAGGGTTTATTGGAAAGAGCATGGTTTGGGAACTGGAAATATTAATAATTTCTATTTTGTCCAATCAAGTTTTCTGACTTTCCATCAACTTATCTATAAAAAATTGATAGAAATATCTATAGCCCTTGGAAAATTATAAATTATAGTACAAATATAAAGGTTGAAAAATAAAGATTATGACATTGCAGAAGACATAATACTATTTTGTGGGTCTTTTTAGATTTAACTCACCTCTTACTACACTCCGTTCTCCAAAATGATTGTGTCCTTATGGCCTGGTATTTTCTATCACATCTAGCCATTTGTTCAGAAAGCAAAATAAAGATGGTAAGGCAAACGACAAATTAAGTCTACAGATAAATAAAGATACATCCTATTGCAATGCTTTTGTTTTTGAAATATCAAGTCAGGCTTCATTTTCTGGTTTAGTTAAAATGCTGTGGGAAGCTTCTCTGAGACTAGAGGACATTGACCTTTGGAAGGTGTTGGCTGCTCCTGAAGAAAGCTCCTGGCTGTTTAAAGGAATGGGGTGGAGTGGAAATACACCCAGACAGGAAACCTCGCAGGTGGGGAGAAGAAGAGGGCCACGCCCAAAAGCAAGTCAGTTCATTCACCTATCAGATCTTTAATTCTAAGTAGGTCTCTGAACTCAATTGGCCCTCTCAGAAACATGTACGTTACTGACCTTGTATATCGGATCTGGGTTAATGTTTGTCATGCACAAAGAAATAACTCTGAGTACTTTAAAAAAAAAAAAAAAAAACTAGCACTTCCTTTTTGCAGGGGAGCTGCAAGTACTTAATTTATAAAATTTCTATTGAGCATGAAGATTATTCCCTAGAAAGAAGCCTTTTCTGAACCCACAGAATATATTAGAATCCCTGTGTCTTGCCCTCAAAGCATGTATCTCAGTGAAGAGACAGCTGCCCATTTCTACATAGGTACAAATTCTGAATCCCTGAGTCAGGAGGCAGAGAGGTTAGACAGGATGAAGTATTTTCTGACCTTCTCTTAGGTGGCCATGACAATGCATCCACACGTGGCATGGGCTGGGAAGCCATGGGCTGTTTTTTCAAGCCAACGCCAAGTTCCCTATGACTAAAGGACACTGCTACTACATATAGTCTGGCAACCTACTGGCCCTAGTTTTCCATATCATGGGTCAGGGTTTTTGTCATCAGTGGTGTTTTGGAGGGAAGCTAGGTATGACCGAAATTACTCTGAAGTCTCTGTCTAGGGGAGTGGGTGAGATCCGAGGCCGACCAGAGTTCAAGTCACGCACCTTTCTGGGCCTGATTCTCCTCATGGGTCGAGTGGGTGTTTGAGCTCTAAAACAGCAGTCCCCAATCTTTTTGGCACCAGGAACTGGTTTTGAGGAAGACAATGTTTTCCACAAAAAGCCAGGTGGGGTGAAGGGGTATAGTTTCAGGATGAAACTGTTCCACCTCAGATCATTAGGCATTAGATTCTCATAAGGATCACATAACCTAGACCCCTTGCATGCGTAGTTCACAATAGGGTTTGCACTCCTAGGAGAGTCTCATGCCACTGCTGATTTGACAGGAGGTGGAGCTCAGAGCTCAGGCGGTAATTCTCACTCACCCACTGCTCACCTCCTGCTGTGCAGTTAACAGGCCACAGACTGGTACCTGTCTGCAGCCCAGGGGTTGGGGACCCCTGCTCTGTGATTGTAGTGGCGCCTCTAGCCCTGGTGCCCTGTGCATCTTGTGGTTCCAAATCTGAAATTAATTTTAATTTTATAGACAGAATATTTTGGTTCTTGTCTCCTTCTCTCCAAAACCAACTGCTACTTTATTTTGGGTAAGATTTCTCATAAAACCTAAAATTATAATTCTCTTCATAGTCCAGAAGTATTACTTACACACCTACTTCTCTCTTTTCTCATGATAGAAAGAGTTTACAGGTTATCATTTCAAATAAGGCTTTTAAAATTATAAATAGAGAAACAACATTTGGGGATATAGAATAATTCACAAAGCAGTAAACAGTCTGAAAAAATGTATTGAATCAAAGAAGAAATAGTTTGAGAATGAGTTTTCTAGAATTATATAATCTTGTAGCCTCAAAAATATGTCTCTTTCCCTATGAGAAAGACATATAAAGAGTATAATTGATTATCAGAAACTTGGAGCTTTAAATTTTAACAAAACCTACATCACAGCTACTTAAAGAAAAAGCATTCAAGGTGAGACTTTCAAATGTAGAATTGCCCAACCATCCTTCAAATTCAGAGAGTATATGCTTATGAACATTCTTTCCTACAGAAAAAATTATAGTTTTTCCCCAATAAATGATGCTATTGTCACCAAGGACCAAAGGATGAAGTGATGAAACAGTCTGTGGCTTGGGTGTAGCCATCTGCCATCAAAACCTGCCTATTCTCTATATTATCTTCTGCAATGAACCAGCACAGAGAATGAGTGGGCAAAGCAGTAGCATAAGAAGGTCATCCACAAAGGCACTCCTCATAGTTTCCTTGTTCCTTCAGGAAATCAGCTCCATTTAATAACGGAAAGGAGAGCCAAGTGCTCTAAGAGCATAGGAGGAAGAATGAGAACGCTCACTCCCAATTATTCAGTGACTCCTCATTACCTGCAGGATAAATGATGAGCTCTTCCTGCAAATGCTTCAGGTGCTCAAGTTCCCACTGTCTGTGCCCAGCTGACATTGCAGCCTCACCCACTCTGTAGGGAGTCATTAGGGGATGGGGTCAGAGAGGTAACCTAAAGCCATATGAGTCAGGACGTCAAATCAGGAGTGAGGTGGGAGCCATTGTAAGTTCTGAGCAAAGAGTGACAGCATACGTGTTATATTTTATTCTTATTAATTCTTCCCAAATGCACTCCACATTCCCAGCACACAAACCCACTCTCCTGAGAACTCCCCAAGCATCCCTGCCCATAACAATCTCATTCTGCCTTGGTGTCCATCACCAGGGACTCTCCTACATAAAGCTTCCCTGATTCCTCAAACAAGGTGGGACTCTCCCTCCTACTCTAATCCCATGAACGTCCAAAGTACTTGGCTTAGACCACAGTTATTGCATTTTCTGTCTTGGATTAACTTTTTTCCTGTTTGCTCTGAGAATACTCGCAGGAGAATCTTGTTGCATTTTCTGCCTTGGATTAACTTTCTTCCTGTTTGCTCCAAGAATACTCACGGGAAAATCTTGACTCTGCAGCATTTATCCTAAGAAAACTTTGCCATGATCTATTAATATCTCACTTGTATTATTTTCGCATAGCTCCAGTATATCAACTTTGAAAACAAAAGACATCATTCTATTTATAGCATTCTTTTTTTAGTAATGGTAATTCCACTTACATAATTTATCTCTAGCTCACAGAAAATGTCAAATCCTAGAAAACGTAGCATTCCTATGTGTGATGTTAGCATCATTCTTGAACAGTTATTGGCCAACAATTCATTTGATGAATTTGATTTTTCCTAAATAGATTATTCTGATGCAGATGATTCTGATGTTAGTTCCGTTTAGAACTAACTCCAAGAACAGTTTTTATATTTTATTTTCACATTGAAAATCAGTCAGATTTGCTTCAGCCTCAAAGAGCATGTTTATGTAAAATTAAATGAGGGCCGGCAATGAGCTGTACTTTTTTTTCCAAACTGGAAGAGGGAACTATTAAGAGTCAAATGATAACATTAGACATGTCTTGCTTTAAGCCTCAGCTAGATTGCAGAGCTCTTTAGTCATGGATTACACTTTATACAGCAACTCAGTGTTGTTACCTCAGCTGTGAGAGAGGCCTGCTGCCTCCACAAGCTCCACTGATCAGTTTCCAAGCCCTGGGCCATATAACAGCCAGCCACCCCCCAACAGCAGTTTTGCCAGCAGGTCCAACAGTTCAAGTTCATCCCCACTTCTAAAAACACAGTGAGTGGATATATTCATGTTCAAAAAAGTTGAAAACACATGATCATCTCAACCATTTTTTCCCAACGAAACTGCTTTAGACATAGACACCTGTGTTACCCTTAGAGAAACTGCTGGGATCTGTTGTGACCACTTGCTCTCGTGCTTGTATTGCACTGACATCTTTGTTACCCCTATTCATCACATGTTTCCATTCCCCCACTAAAAGGCATACTCTTTGGCCTCACAGATTTACTTCCCTCACCTGCTGACCTTTGCTCAAAATGTATCTGTAGATGTGTTATTTCCATAGCTCTTCCAGATCTTCTTCCCCTCCTCAATTGTAAGTGAAATCCAGAAAGCAAAGAACCAAAGATAACCTTCTACCTTTGTTCTAACAGGATTTTGTACCACTGTATCAAGACTTTGAAAATTTTTATACACGAAACCTTTACATGCGAATCAGAGACAACTGGAACCGGCCCATCTGCAGTGCCCCAGGGCCTCTGTTTGACGTGATGGAGAGGGTGTCAGATGACTATAACTGGACATTTAGGTGAGCGCGCCACTTGGGGGGCTTCGGGAAAAGAAAATCCTTTCAAGGAAATCCTAGCATGGGCACTAGATGACAAATCTGAAAAAAACAAGGCATGGAAGCCGTTGGTTTTGTATCATTTATACCTTTGCAAGCCCTCCTGATGCCAGGGGAAGAAAGCACAGTAAAGTAATTAAGCAGCTGCCAGAGTGACTTTTTGGATTGTAATTAACCTAAGACCTGTGTCAGAGGTGCAGAACACACCAAGCCAGTCAGGAAGACCCCTTTCAGCTTTATTGACAAATTCTACTCTCCTACTTCTAGCTGAATGAGACAGTGATGACCATGGTTCTCGTTCCGTTAGAAGGCTCTTGCTGGAATTTAAACCAGAGCATAAGTGTCATGGAAATAAGTGCCCAAGGAAAATCAGGGCTAAGTAACAATCCATGGCTCAAGACGTCTTTCTCCAATGCTCTGCCCAACTTCATCATGGGTTTACCTTTCTCTTAGGGAAAACCATTTTTTGGTAACAACTTTTTTGATGCATAATAGATGTACATTATTTTGGAGTACATATAATAATTTAATACATTCATATAAACTGTAAAGATCAAATCAGTGTACTTGGGGCATCCATCATCTTAAATATTTGTTTTTTTATGACAGAATCATTTAAATTATTTTCTTATAGCTATTTTAAAATAGACCATACATTATTTTATAAACCACAGTCACCCTACTGATCTGAGTTTTATTTCTTCTATCAAACCGTATCTTTGTACCTGTTAGTCAACTTCTCCCCCTCCTCCCTACCTTTTCTAGCCTCCAGTAACAACCAATCTACTCTCCCTTCATGGGATATGCCTTTTTAGCTCCCATGTTATAGATTTTAAAAATGTGATATTTGACTTCTGTGCCTTGCTTATTTCATTTAATATAAAGGCCTCCAGTTCTATCCAAATTGCTTCAAATGACAAGGTTTTCTTTTTTTTTTTTTCTTTATGGTGACAACAGTGCAAGTTAATAAGAAAGAAAATATATCATTTAGGCCAGACCTAAGGCCTCTCCAGCACTAGGATAATTTTTTTTTTTTTTACATTTGAAAAATAAGACTTATTAAATCAAATGAATGGGTATATCTGTTTCCTAAGACAGACAACGATAATGAACTTGGTAGAAAGAATAATAGCGGGTAGGATTTTGCTGATCTTGCTTTTAGCCTCATGGTAGTTGGTAGAGCATCTGGGAATGATTAGCTTTTTTTTTTTTTTTTTTTTTTTTTTTTAATGTGACTGCTTGTTCACTGCTGCAGCTTCAGTTCTGAGTTGATGCTTGAACTGCCAGCAGTATCCATTATTCCAGACGCAGTTCAAAGAGGGCAGTCAGCTTGCACTGGTCCTGGAGCTGTGATCAAAGTTGGCCCCAACTCAGCTTGGGGAAAGTTTCTTCAACTTTTTCCTTTTCTTTAATAAATTCTTTATAGGATGGTCCTGTTTGTTGGTTCCCAGAGATGTATCCTTCATCTTGGATCATCCAGGGAGGTGTGGCACCTGAGTGGATGTTACCAACTCCTGGTATATCCTGATGACCAATGAATATCGGAGATTGTCCTGTCTCCATCCAGTCAAGTCCTGGAGCTGTGGCAGGTCCAAGTTGGAGGGCTGCTGTGAGCTGGAAGCTACTTGGCTGTTCATCCTTTTCCAGCTTCCAGGGACTGAAGAACCCTCTTCTGGGTCTGGCACTGGCTGAGGGGGTCTGGATCTTCTGAGGGAAACCAACCTCTAGGACAGACTGAACCACCTCCTGCCAGTTCTATTCCACCTCACGGATCTGAGCTGCCATCTCCTTGGTCACCCCATTCTCTTTTTCTTCATAGGAACCCAAACCTTCCATCAGGGATTTTTTGAATCATGCATAACCCTGGGGAAAGGATTGTGTGCTCATTTACATGTTTCCCTGCAGGTTTACTGGAAGAGTCATCAAAGATGTCATCAACATGGGCTCCTATAACTTCCTTGGTCTTGCAGCCAAGTACGATGAGTCTATGAGGACAATAAAGGATGTTTTAGAGGTGTATGGCACAGGCGTGGCCAGCACCAGGCATGAAATGGGTAGGTACACTCACTGTTTTGAAATTTTTTCCTGTTAGGTCTCAGATTCCTTGTGTCTGCCTCTCAAATCTAGATCATATTTGGACTGTGTGCCTTAAAAACGTGTCATGCAATACAGAAAGAAAAAGAGATATTTTGGGAAATTTCAAGCATTAGACTGTTGCCAGGCAGTTTATTAATTACATGTTTCAATTCTCCAGAATAGACAAAAATAGATCTTTCCTCCCCATATTATCTAAAATAGCAACACTGTGCCTCCTCTAGCTGGTCCTTTTCCGCCCTTTCTTCCACTTTTCTTAATGATGTTCATCACTGGTTAAAATGATCTTGTATTTGTATTCGTATATGGCCTGTCTCTGCTCCTAAAAATAAACTTTGTGAGAAGAGGGGTTGGACTTGTGTAATGTTGCATTGAACAAATGAATGAATCGACCAGGTGGAGCAGACGAGCAGACTGCCTCTTTATTTTCCTTTTAGCTAAATGTTTTTCTTTTACTCAAAGGAGTAACACCTGTGAGAAGGAAACCCACTCCTCTTCAATTCAGGAAGAAAGAATAATGCAAGCTTGCTCTTACGTAGTGCTTTTCAATTCTTGGCCTGAGGATAGAGACAGGGAGAGAGAAGGAGAACGTTCATTTATCCAAAAAAAAAAAAACACACAAACAAACAAACACCTGTGTAGGCAGCACAGGTGGTGTTATTCTCATCTTCTGGGGGAAGAATCTGAGATCATGGCACCTAAGTGATATACTTAAGGAAGGTAAATAACCAACCTAATTCCCGGTATAGCTCAGCTTTCTCTACTACAGCACTTCTCCCTCCCAGTGACACATGCAAGGTTCACCAGGTCGGTTAGGTCTGTCTAAGAATTGGAGGCAAATGTGACTAAAAAGGGATTTACTATCATGTTAATGAATTATGAACTACATGTCCCTCTTAGATAACCAGTTAGCAGAGAGTTTTAGAAACAATTTAATTATTCAGACTTGTGCAACAAATAATTCACATTGAACAAAGTAGGTACCTTTTTATCCCAACATTCATTGGCTAAAGCTCTAGAGTTAATAGTGGGTGCACAGATTTCTTTTAAAAAAATCTTACTGGCGGGGCGCGGTGGCTCAAGCCTGTAATCCCAGCACTTTGGGAGGCCGAGACGGGCGGATCACGAGGTCAGGAGATTGAGACCATCCTGGCTAACATGGTGAAACCCCGTCTCTACCAAGAAAATACAAAAAATTAGCCGGGCGAGGTGGCAGGCGCCTGTAGTCCCAGCTACTCGGGAGGCTGAGGCAGGAGAATGGCGTGAACCCGGGAGGCGGAGCTTGCAGTGAGCTGAGATCCGGCCACTGCACTCCAGCCTGGGCGACAGAGCGAGACTCCGTCTCAAAAAAAAAAAAAAAAAAAAATCTTACTTATCTTCATTTTGAGGCATAAGGGCTGGAGATGTTAACAGGGTGGAGATGAAAATGGGAGGTTTTACTCCACTTAGAAAGACTGGGTCAACTGTGATGCCCCATTTGGAGATGGGGCAGAGACTGGAGGAGTACCCCTAGCCATAAGGAGCACAGGGTCAGTAACCATTTGAGATATTTCCTCTGGTGCTGGTGACACCCAATACCAGGGTTGTTAATGACCAGGCAGAAGACATATTCCTGACAACAACCCCCCAACTCAAAGAGACAGCACACTCCCTACGCAAGCGGTAGAGACTGAAGGAAAGCTGCTTGATACAATGTTCACTTACAGGGGAAGCCAGATATGGAACATGGGTCCCCGACTCTGCAGGTTTAGCAAACCCTAAGAAACTAGGCAGAAATGAAGGTCCCATTTGGTACTGCACTCAGCCCGAGTTCTTTCTCCACCTACTCACCCTTCTGAATCGCCCAGTTTTTAATATTTCTCCATTTCATTTAGCTCTCCACGTCAAGTTCGAAGAAAAGGACTTTAACATTTTTCAAGTAAATAGTGAAAGACTCAAAGAGAAGCCACCCACGCTAATTTTAGGCAAATAGAATGACTGAAACATGAATATAAGCAGTCAGTCAGGAAATGAATAAATAAAGAGGGGATATTTAAAGTATTCTGCAACATTAATAATAATCTTAACATGGCATGCAAGAATTAGGAGTAGCACAATTCTGAAAGCCATTTATTCTAAGGAATACAGGTAACTTTTGGAAAACGTGTCTTAACAGAATATTTAACAGTACAAATGGGTTAACAATGAAAACTGGAAAGCTAAAAGTTCAACAATTTTTAGAAACCGAAATAGGTTCTTGAGAACCTACAAGTTTATGAACATTTAATCACTAAAAAATAACTCCTCAGAGATTTTAGAAATAGTTTTCAATATTCCAGGGGAAAAAGGAAAATAAAATCCATGTAACAAAAAAGGAAAGACAGAAAAGGAAATAACAAGCAATCACTCAAAACATAAATAACAGATATTATTTTGACAAAAAAAAATGTACCTAGAAGAGATTTGTCTATCAAAAGAAAAAGACTGAGATTTGGCCAAAAACCTAAACTCAACTATGTGCTGTAATTTAAAAATATACAATATTAAGTTAAAATTATTTCAAAGGGTGAGAAATAGAAAGATAGGTCCCACCAGGTACCTAGTGCCCACTCCCTGCTGCAACCACCAAAGGGGCTCAAAAGGGTGGTCGCGTTAGTAGAAGGAGCAGCAAAGGAAGAGCCCAGAAGGAAGTTTCGTGGAGGAAGATTGTTTGCCAAACTTGCACCCAAAAATGTTAAAATCGAGCCCCAAAATACAACTGGAAATGATATATTTCCAGACACATCTGTACAGAAGTGCAAATGCTGTTTTCAAGATGTGAAATTATACACTACTGCTTATTTTAGAGTAGAACTAAAAAACAGTGGAATACAAAATTAAGGGAGGCTTTGGCTACTTTATGGGTCAATTTACATTCCACGTAAATGAAGCAACAAAAAACAAAAGCAACAAAAAACAAAAAAATGATATGGTAATAGGAGACTATAAAGTGTCTCCCACAGTTGACAACCATTGAGTTAGCATAACCTTGATCTCCAAATCTGACAAAAATGCATTTCAAAAA